CCCCCCCCCACCACGGCAAGGTGGCGAACTCGGGGGAGCATTGCTCGTTTCACTTCCTCCCCATTTAGGCTTATCAATTTTAATGGCTCCTGCCCACAGGACGCGGCAATGCTTGCCGCGCGGCAGAATTTCGTGCGACAGCCAATCAATATGTTGCTTTTCCGTAAGAACTAGAAGGTTATTACGGAAAGCAGCATATTGATTGGCTGTCGCGCGGACTTGCGCCGCGCGGTAAGCATTACCGCATCCTGTGTACAGGAGCCATAAGTCCAAACTTTTCCCACATAACTGCGTGTATTTCCTTTTTCTTTTCAGCAAATTTTTTTTTATTTTTTTCAGATCTTACTTGCCATTGTTTAAAAGTTATTCTATAGGAGATATGTAAGCAAAACTCAAAAAATCAAATCCAAGCATGTAAGGGACTGCAAGGAGTTAGGATCAGGCATAAAAGTTTCTCAACTTATATTCTCTAGATTATTAAAATTTTTTGGAGTTGCAGGACATATGGGATAAGTTTGCATAGATTTGGTGTTAGTGATAATTAAAATTTTGCCATCTATCAATGTTAAAAGTAGCGAAAAATGAATCTTGACATTACAGTTTTCTACAAACTCTTTGAAAATCTCCAAATTTCAGATTTGATTTTCGATATTTTCTTTTTGTTTTAAAATAACTTCATGTGATTCTTTTACATGTTCTATTTTCACCGGACGACAAAATCTATTCGATTGAGGAGTTCGGTTGCATAAAATAATCCCAGGTGAAGTTGATAATCAAAACGGAATGAAGGTGGTCACAAATAAACTTTTATCGTTTACATTTGCCGTCTCTTTATATTTTTGTTGATAAGAGGAATTACCGGTACTACCATCAAAACCCCAACTGCAAGTTAACACAGCTTCGATTTCTGTGCAATTATATTGTCGCACAGTGTGAACCACTACTTTAGCTTGCAATGTTTAAATTCATTTAGCAGTAAAGTTAAGAAAATTTTGAAGTTTTACTTCTGCTACATTTTCATTTATTAATATTGCGTCTTTTTTTATTTACACAACTCTTTAGCATTTCTTACAAATTATAAGAAGGCCAAATATTTGCCTGAAGACTTCGATTCCAAACGCATATTTATGAATGTATTTTTTGTTATAGAGTTGTCTAAGATAAAAGCCAATGCTTCCTCGGAAGTTTTCTTAACGATAAAAGATATTATTGCAGATACTTTTGGCATTTTTGTGGGCCGTGTTAATGTTTGTAAATCTTCACTCAGAATCGCATGTACATCTTTCTATCCTGACCGCTTAGCAGCATAATTACCCAGGATTGGGAAGCGTCACTTATAACGACGTTACTATTTCGTTACTTTTTTTGGTAACGATTTGGTAACGCCGTTACTTTTTTGTATCAGTAACGAAAAAGTAACGGCGTTACATTTTCTTTTGTAGGCAAATGCCTACTTCTCCCTCCTTCCTTCTCCACGTAAACCAAGATGGGTCGGGTTTTCTCTTAGACAGACACTTGATACTGATCGGTTTCAATTCCTTTATTCTGCGTATCCTCCCTCTGGCCAACATGCGACAACTGACCGTCCACGCGCTTCTTTTTACCTCTCTCATCACCTCGAGACAGTTCCCCGTAGTATCCTACAAGTCGCGTCAGAGTCGCGTCGAGCGACGGAACATAAATGACGGGCGCGAAACGGTGGGGTCGTTCAAACTAAAAGATCGGATGCTTATCGCCTACAGTTCGGCCATTCTGACCTTGTTGATCGTCTCGATCGATGTGTATTTTCTTTAACTAAAACTAAACTATGATTCCACCACGCATATCAGCGAATTATTCAAACTAACCTAAAACTAGTATGTCGGCCTAGCGATGTCAGTGGCTATCTACTAAGGGTTTACATATAGCCGCATGTAATCAGGTGCAACTACATCTGTGTAAGGACGCTGTGTGACTTGAAATCCTTCTATATCAGTAATAACATATCGGTCATGGTCTAATATTTTCTTTACGACATAGGGACCCTTGAACAATGGTATAAGTTTCTTATTTATTCCTGCTGCGGTTTCCACATTTCGAATTTCCACATAGTCGCCTACTTTGTACGTGCGTGCGGGTTTACGTCGCAAATTGTAACGTATCGCGTTCTTACGCTGGTTCTCTTCGATACTCGCCTTGGCCCTATCTCGAATCGTTTCGAGGTCACGCTCTGGCTGCTCGCTTTCAGCAATTAATTCGCGTATCAAGTCGTTTGCCTCCCCCCGTTGTTCGATACCAAAAAGCAAACGAGACGGTACTTCATTCGTTGCTCGACAGAAGATATTGTTTAGCGCATAATCTACTTGCCCTAGCACGCAATCCCACTTAGAAAGTGCATTGCTGAGCTTAGCTAACATCGGTACAATAATTCGGTTGTACCTTTCAACTTGGCCATTGGCCCTTGGGGTTCCAACAGCAATTAGGACATGATTGATCCTTTGATTTTTTAAAAAGTCTTTGAACGAATCGGACGTAAAACAGGTACCTCGGTCTGATACTAAACATTTTGGCTTACTATAGGCTCGGAAATAATTGACGGAGAGTCGACCGGACTACAACCTCCGGTTGCTACTCGGGAGGTAACGTCGCTTGGGGGGCCCCCTGTACGACCAAGGATGCGGTTGTCCACTAAGGGAGGTGATTCTTCTGCTGGAATGAGTCGTACGTCGATTGCGGCTGATCCGGCTAAGCCTACCTCGCGGATTTGTGGCACCAGAAGGGTGCCTAGAACGGCGGCCGTTAATATCAAGATGGTCGTCTGTACTCCGATCTCCTAAAGAAGGCTCGTCAATATATACAGTTGGATGGACTGGGAATCGAGAGTACCTGTATGTGGAGCCACCGCCTTCGCGGGGCTCGCGGACTCCTGCACCTAGTATACAGGAGCCGCCATCGCGCGTCCACCGTCGCAAGCAGCGTCTGCAGCCGCGCCAGTGTTTCGCGCTAGCGCCGCGTTAAGAGAGGGCCCGGTCGAGGAGAGGAGAGACTACGACTACCGCTCTCTCACCGATAAGTCGTCTTTCGCGTTCGTCCATATTAACCTTTTTAGTCGTTTTTCTCGTAGCCGCGTGCCGTGTTCCGCGTTCTTAGATCGTTCGAGATCTCGCGTTCGGCGTACTTCGGCCCGAAGGCTTGTGCAGTGCCGGCAGAATTGCCACGTGCATCCTGCGCTCTCTTCCGACGTGCGCATCCGCCGCGGCCAGCACGTGAGCGGTCGTAGCGAGCGGTTTCGCCAGTGATTTCTCGCGCGTTCCCGTTTTTTGCAAGTGCAGTGCGGTTGCATAGCCTAAGCGGCTTGCCTGTTGCAGGTCACCGTGAGGTCGGACGACCCTGCAGGTCGGGAAAACCTGCGTTCGTCACAAGGCTGCATTCTTTGTGCTAGCCAAGCGAGCACGTGATCGCCACGTGCGCGTATCGTGAGTCGCCGGTTTCTTTGTTCGCTTCGCGACGTGTTCCTTCGTTTCCGTACAGGCCGAATCGACGTGTCGTCCGTGACCGCTGCGTGTGTGTCGCGGTCAGTGTTGTTTGGCTACGTGTTAATCCGTCTCTAAGTTGTCGCGTGTATGTCGCTTTGCGAGTTCGCTGTGATAAATGCTTTTTGCGTGCGTGCAATGTCTTTTGCGTTTGTGCTATGTTTTTGCGTGCGTGCAATGCCTCTTGCGTTTGTGACATGCTTTTGCGTGCGTGCATGCTGTTTCCACGCGCGTCATGACCTTCGGCGCGCTCTGGTTTGACGGAGGTTAGTCGCTACCTTTCCGCGCACGTTACCTCATCTCCGACGGCAGGAGAACCTACGCGCGTGCTGCGGTAGACTAGCTCGTGCAGAATTAGGACTATCTCGTTAAAGCGTGTCGCGTTCGAGCTTAGTGAACCGACTGTCGCATTTCGCCGTTGTAAAGACTTTGTTAGTTTTTGTAAGAATTTTGTATTTACTGTTGTTGAAGATCTTGTGCGCGAATATAGTAAGTTCGTAGTACAGGGGAGAATCTCAGTAATTTTTACAACCTTACACACCTCGCACTAATCACATTTAATTTTCGTAGGTGGTGGTGCGCGAGGTCGAATACCGGCCGGGTACGCGTTAACCATACTTTCGCCACACGTATAAGACGTGCGGCTAACGGCTCGATGTTCTTCGAGATCTCGGGTTCAGAGCGTGCGGAGAAGACCGACTTGCTCGCTGCCGAGTTGGTGGAGGTTCTTGATAAGGACGCTGTGGTCTCCCGACCGATTATCAGAGGGGAGCTTCGCATTTGGGGCCTCGACGACTCGGTCTGCGTCAACGAGGTTATGTGCGTCCTGGCGGAGTTTGGGAGTTGCAGGATGCCTGAGATCAGAACCGGGCCAATCAGGAAGATGGCCAACGGCCTCGGATCTATTTGGGTTCAGTGCCCACTCGCGGCAGCGATTAAGGTGGCTGCGCCCGGCAGGTTGCGCATTGGCTGGTCGGTTGCTCGGTTGGAACTCTTGCGGGCACGCCTACGTCAGTGCTTCAAGTGCTGGCAGTTTGGGCACACGCGGCACGCCTGTAAGTAGGATGTGGACAGATCTGGCGCTTGTTTTCGTTGCGGCGGTGCTAGGCACGCGGCACGTGACTGCTCAGCGAATCCCCATTGTGTGGTGTGTGCTTCAGAAGGAAGACATGCTGACCATCGCATGGGCTCCACAGGATGTGGAGCAATGGAGGACGGCAAGAGTGTAAGAGCTGTACCGGTGCGGAGGGCCGGTGTCAATGCTGAACTGGATTATGGCGCTTAAAGTCATCCAGGTCAATGTAAATCGGAGTTGGCCCTCGTTCGACCTTATGATTCACTATATGAACGAAGAGGCCTTTGCGATCGGTATTGTGTCCGAGCCTTCCAGACGACGTTTGGATTTAGCCGACTGGTTTACCAGCAGTAGCGGACTGGCGGCGATCATCGTGAGACATCCGGTGATACCTTTGGGTTGCGCCTTGATCAGGCGGGGGCGTGACAATGTGGCTGTCAGAGTTGGCGATCTGGTGGTCGTCTCGTGTTACGTCTCCCCTAACGCCACGAGGGGCCGTTACCTTGAGTTCTTGGACGAACTCGGGGATATAGTTGATGAGGCTAGCGGTAGAAGAGTTTTGATCGGTGGTAACTTCAACGCACGCTCGGTATCTTGGGATCCTGTGGCAGCCAATTGGAGGGGGACCTTTATCGAGGAATGGGCTGCGGAGAGAGATCTTCGTCTCATTAACACTGGTGTAACGCCTACCTGTACTAATCCACGTGGGTCATCTGTCGTGGATCTTACATGGATGACTGCCGATCTATTTGGACGTCTTGTGGATTGGTCGGTTAACGACCTGGAGTCTGTCCGATCACTGCGTGATCATCTATGCTGTGGTGGGCCCACGACTTGGACTATTGGAGGACGAGACATACTTCGTTAGTCCACACCCGCGTTGGAACTATCGACGAATGGATATGAGGGCACTTGCCATGGCCTTGGAGTGGGACGGTGTTGCGAGTCCTGCCGAAGGCGATACTATGTCCGCGGAGTTTCGCCGGCTGGTTTGACCGCGTGTTGAAGAGGGCCTGTGATTTCGCGGCTCCTAGGGCCGGGAGACCTGTGCAAAAAAACTGTGCCTACTGGTGGTCCCCTGATATCGCTGACCTCCGGTGTGTGTGCGTGCCAGGAGGCTTCTCACGCGCTACAACAGCAGGCTGTGCTCGCGTATACGCCGAGCCAGCGGTGTTGCGGATGACGATTTTGCGGAAGTTAGGCGCTCGGATTTGCGCGGCGAGTACCGTATTGCGCGTGACAATTTGCGGAGCGCTATCCGCAAAGCTAAAGTGGCAGGATGGTCGGAGCTGGTCGGTGCTGTCGAGGCGGATCCCTGGGATAGACCGTACCTGTTGGTACTCAACCGTTTGAGGCGCTCGTATCCCAGGATGTCTGAAAGCCTGCCTGCTGATTTGTTGCAGGCCCTTCTTGACTCTCTCTTTCCTACTAGCGATGGGACTACGACTGGTCCCAGTGTGGAAACTGCATGGAGAATGGAGGACGACGTACAGCTGGCGGAAACATATGCTGCGATACGTCACAGGAGAAGCTTGTCTAACAGGGCGCCAGGCCTGGACGGAATCCGCGCTGTTGTGCGGAGAAACGCTCCGAGGGAGTTGGTGGAGAGACTCACCATGTGCTTCAATACGTGCCTGCGTGAGGGGGTCTTCCCCGTGGCTTGGAAATGTGCGGGACTCGTTCTCATCCCTAAGCCCGGGACATCTGTTGGGCCGCTCCCAAAGGCGAGACCTATTTGTCTCCTCAGTGAGACCGGGAAGATTTTGGAGCGCATTATTGCTGCCAGGATGCGAAAGTGGATGCTTGAACATCCGAGGGCCGAATTGTCGAACAGCCAATTTGGTTTTCGGGAGGGTCGCTCGACATGCGATGCCTTGCTCAGGGTGCGGCACGGAGGGAGTTGTTGCTGAGGGTGGCGTTGCCATCGCGATAAACCTTGATGTTGCAAACGCCTTCAATTCGCTTCCTTTTAAGGAAATCAGGAACTCCGTGCGTGCCAGAGGCTTCCCTGACCATAGGATCATCAACGTATACCTGAGCGATCGTCTCGTTGAGTATCCTGTGGCTGGTGGTGGTGTGAAGCGTCGTCCGGTCTTGGCGAGGGTTCCTCAGGGCTCTGTTTTGTTTGGACCCATTACTCTGGAACAGAGGTCGGCAGCTTAGCAAACTTTCCTCTCTTTTCGGGACGGCTCCGCCTTCCGTTGTTCCCCTTACCTTGACACCCCGCGAGTAGCCTACGAGTCGCTCGAGCTTCAGGAGCGTCGTGCATATATATCGTGCTATGGGATCCTTAGACGGGAGAAAAATAAGAAAACTTGAAAATATTTTTTTAAAGATGTAATATATACTGCAAAAGTTTAATTTTAATTATGATATTTGTTTTCAATAGTTTTCCACGTCACCCTTGAGGTACTATTGCTGACGCGTTTTTTTTTAAGTGGTATCCCCAGTAGGCCTAATCCACTAATAATGAAGAAGACTGGACAGAAGCAGAATGAGCAGAAGCATACATGTACGAAGAGCAATTAATTTTAATTTTATTTTCGACGTTTTTTAAAGGCGAGAGAAGGAATATCCACCTGAATATTCGAAGTAGCGACCCGCATAAGACACGATAAAGAATCGTCGCTTAACAAAGAACGTTTCTCATTTTTAATAAACTTCATTTTAGAAAATGAAGTCTCACATAGATACGTGGATCCAAACATAGAATGAATGCGCAATCCAAAATCCCGAAGCTTGGGATATGAAAATTCTTTCAAAATTTTGAAGAAATTGACACCGGTTTCTTTAAATGTTTTCAATGAAATATCATTCTGCAAATTGCATAATTCATCTTGCAAATCTAAATGCTGTTCTTCGATTAGCGTTGTTAAAGGATTCTCGAAAAGAATCAATTCATTTCTAAGTTTTTCAAAACACGTGAAGCGTGTATCGAATTCGTTAATAAGAGAATCCACGAAATGGACATGTTCCTGAAAATTATAGTTATTGCCTTGTTCTTCGAGAAGAATCTGGCAAGAAGGAAAGAAGTGAAAAACACCATTATCTATGTGAAATTTTAGTAACTGTAATTTCCTTCGGAAAGAATCTACGTGACTGACTAATTGAGAAATATTTTGATTTTTCCGTTGCAGCTTTAAATTGAGAAATCTAAGTTGATTTGTCAAGTCAGTAATGAAGGCAACTTCATTAAGAAATTTGGTATCTTCCAAAAAGAATATATATTCTTGGAAATTTGGATTTTTTATTTCTTGCAAGAAAAGGAGGATCTCTTTTCTTATTGCAAAAAATATTTCCAAACATTTTGCTGCACTAAGCCAACGTACTGGGCAATAAAGCGGAACATCAGTGTGAACAGCATTATGTTCGTGGAGAAACTGTTGAAATTTTCGGTGGGTAAGGAACTTCTGTCCACCTTTAATTGCATTTATTATTTTTGTAACAGTTTCCATAGCAGTTGAAAGTTTAATAGCTTTAGCAGATAATGCTTCCTGATGAATTATACAATGTATAATAGGGATATCAATATTTCGCTGCTTTAATTGACCGACGAATCCTATCTTCGAACCTGTCATAGCTTTTGCACCATCAGTTG